TGTTAGTCACACAGATTGTCACTAAGACAAAAGTACACTTGTGCAAATAATGCGTGAAATCGTCACATTCTTTCAAATATAAAATTACACTGTTTTCTTGCTTGCGTTTATTAGAATTGTGTTTAAAATATGAAATAAGTTATCAACACATAAATTACACGATAAAAAAGAGTTCATTCGCTATGAAAGGAATGAGATATTGTTTTTTAAAACGTAATATTGCATGCTAAATGTTGGTCGTTGTTATGATTCCATTGTCAACCACACTAACCCGGAGTATATTAATTTCTAGCAAATATATCATTGTTCATCGAAGGGGCAAAACATGATTGCGTTCTACAAATATGTATCTCCTATCTTATCGAATCCTGAACTTAAGTAAAGTACTAAAACCGGTAAGCCTCGTCAACATAAAGTTGACGCAATTAAGTTATTCATAGATGACCGAATGGTTTTCAAATCGTGACATTGTTATCAGCTGTTTCCACTTACCAAGCGAAGAAAAGAGACAAACATATCCATGTTAATTCCCCATCTATTTCTCTATCAGCATGATAGAGAGACGATGTTACCACAAGCACAATCACTGCACTATATTGATACTGCCCGATTCGCGGGACGCACGTCTGCGCGCACGCACGTTCTGAGAGAGACTGAAAGAACAGGCTTCGATTGGAGGCTTCGATTTATGTAAGGCTACATTTTACTATAGATAACCTGTGGCATTCATTGCAGATGTAAAGTTTAAGGAAAATAATTTGTAAATTAATAAATAAAGCTGCTTTATGATAAGATAAAATTAATATTTATAATGATGTTATAACGAGCGAGTTAGATGTACAAATCTGTGGAACATGTTAAATAGTAGATCAAAAATCAATTACCTATCAGCTTAAAATGACTTCAATTAGTGGAGCAAGTATCGTGACGTCACTAATCCGGCCCCATGCAGCACGGGCTAGTGCTAATAGCAACACTCGGAGGCCATTCCACATTCCGCGCCGAGGACAACCTCATTTGCCCCGCGCTACATCAGTGTTTTTTTTTTTTTTTTTTTTTTTTTTTTTTTTTTTTTTTTT